ATCATGAGCAACATTTCTATGTTCTAGAACACCTTCAACAACAGTGATTTAAGCAGTCACAGATACAAAAGTTACCTAAGGATTGTCAGGATCTGTGTTTTTTCTGTTTTAGTTTCGTTAGTTTTTTCTCTTGTTTTGGTTTGAGTTTTATTTTTGTTGGAGCACCTTCATTTTCCTGGGCATCCACTAGATGTCACCAAACGCTGAGCCCCTGAGAAGCTGCGGGGGTAACCCCGTGGTCACACCTGTAGCTCGTTTGGAGGGCGTGGATTTTATCGCCTGAGTGTTAGCTTACCTTGGTGAGCTAACACCAAGGGATCACTCGTTGTTCCCGTGAGTGCTGTCTGCTCAGAGTGAGCCTGTGATCCGTGCTGTCTGAGTTGCCTTCCTCGTGTGTCCTCCCTCGACGCTGCCGGTGTTACCGGTCGGACGCCACTCCCCGTGTGTTCGCCTTTCCCCCTGTCTTCGGTCCGTCTCCAGTGGATTCCCCTTCGGAACGCCTACGGACCTGTCAGTCCAAGCCCGAACCCAGTCTGGAGAAAAGGAACAACTGGACCAAGTCGGACTCCGCTCGTTCCGCCGTAAACAAACCTGTCCGCTCTCCAACGAAGCTCCATCCTCCAGCGCTCTGCTCACTTACTCACCTTCATATCAAGTAAGAACCAGTTCGATTCACTCCTGGAAAATACTCCCCTTCCTCCTCTAACCATCTGCCTCTCGTTGACAGTAATCCGCTGTCATCCGCTGGATACTGGTCATCTCCTCCAGTATCCATTCCCTCTCCCCTTCCCTCCTGGATTCAATAAACTCATTATTGTTCACTACTCTGACTCTTCTGGTTGTGTTCTTGCATGTGGGTTCGAAAATTGAATACCATCATGACAAGGATGTTGCATCCCAAAAAGCTTTCTGCTAGAGAAGACTGTCCAGTCACACCTGAAATTGTTACCTGGATGCAGAGTTGTATTTTTTAACAGTTAAACGAACAACAAACGGATTCTCCTGACTGAACTCGCACTAAATTGAAAGATGGAAGCACAGAGGAGGATTAATAAAAGACAAATGCAACAAAAGACTCATTTGTTGTCTTTTGTCAATCTAGGACTAGCCTTCTCTGCTAGCTCTAAAAAATTGTAACATGTTTTAAACATATTTACTTTTATCTATAATTTTTATTCTACAAACAAGTTGCTTATTGGCATTATTGAGGTTTAACTTTAATTTCTTACTTTACATAGTGCCTTAAACGCATCTGGCGAGCAGCTGCGTCTCAGGATCTGCTGTACAAATTCAGCTACCCCTCTTCCTGAACAATGTCTGGAACAGACCATAATTGGCATGACTGACAGAATTATCAGCCAATCAAAATTGACATACAATGACGGGGCGTCTCACTGTCCCAGCTGTAAGTAAAGAGCTTCCCATGAATTCCCCATCACTGTAATGAAGTAATGGTAGCCGCATTCGCTTCAACTCTGGTTGACCTAGTTCCAGACTTATAAAAATTGCCTTTTTCAATACACTCTTTAACAGATAAAATAACTGAAAATGGAAAATCCACACCAAACCTGGATTCACTAACAGACCTGTAGGAACTTTGCAAAGCAATTTAAAGACTGTATAAGCAACGAGTGCATAACTAACAGCTAGCACTGAGAACAACAACTTGTGGATTTTTTTTTTTTTACAAGTAATTGGTGTGTTTCTATTAGCCTATATTCTCATATAAACTTTACTTAATACTTTTTCTTTTAATTGTTCACATGTGCTATTTGAGCAGTATAGATTGATGTTGAGCTTAACTGGGGAACATAGAAAGCAGGGACGTGCAGAGACCACTAAAGGGGCAGGTGCTCAAAAAAAGGGCATATCTAACCGNTATATATATATATATATATATATATATAGTATTAGTTTTGTATTAGTTTCTCAGCATATATTATTTTCTGTTTGCAAATGCTGCGGCCGGATTTGAGTAGCTCTAACATGGACCGGATGTGCGCTTTTATTGTGAAAGCAGCACGTAAATGGGTGTACCATAATGTCTTGAGCGACCGCGCACTTGTATATTGTGTGCTGGGCCGGCTGGAGTCAGAGCCGGCTAGCTTTACCGCGGTCAGAGTCGAGATGGGTATGGTTTGGAAAGCCACTACCCCGTGCTCTGGTCTTTCAAAAATAAAAAACTACACTAAAAACTCCGGCTAACCATTTTCTCGGTGACCAGATGACCGGTATTATTTGTTTCTCACAGGAGCATTATTTAAACTGTCTTGCGGATGGCAGAAAATACTACAGTATATAGCCTGAAACCTGAAAGGAACAAGCTTCTCTGCCTACAGCCTGCATAATGTGTGTGATACGGCCCCTGTGTAAGCCGGACAGAGAGAACTTCCGGGACAGACCGCTTTTCCATTTTCGTTTTGGGCGCTAAATGGGAAATCGGATAACGAGCAAAAAAAAATCCGATTTCAAATTTTGGTTTTCTAAACGGACAACCAAAATCTGGTTTTCGTTTTCGTTTTTTCATTTCAAACGAAAAAACGAACTGCCTGAAAATACACGAACCGGCTCGTAAGAGCTATAGGCCTGTAACTTTTTACCTACCTTATTCTTACTTGGCTTTACTATCGGAACAACGACTGAATGTTTCCAACTGCAGGGCAATTCCCCTTGTTCCCATACTTTATTATATAACTTTAAAACTACTCCTTTAGCAGCATCTGATAACTGTTCAATCATCTTATAGCATATGCCATCTTTCCCTGGAGATGTATTCTTGACTCCAATCAAAGCTCTATTCATTTCAAACAATGTAAAATCTTTATCTAAAACACCTCCATCTATCTATTTCCTATTTAAAATTTCTTTACTATCTTCAATCATTTTCAATCTCCATGATAATTCTTCATGTGATAAGTTTTAAGAACTATGCACTTTCACAATGGACCTACCAAACATCTCTGCTTTTTCCTTCCGGAGTTTAGCTCAAGGTTGATCCGATTTATGAACGCTACTGTCGGCCAGCGGTTCTCCACCGCTCCCGGCCCAAGCGCTCGAAGGTTCAACAAATTACCGAACCAAACACTCCTGTCAAACAAATGTTAATAAATGCCTTGAATTGTGGCCAACTGACTAATTGTCAGTGCTAATTTATACTTTTACATGAGACACAATATCCTCTATTAAATTTTAAAGTCATATATAATATTTTAAATAATTTTAATATTAAATAATATAATGTTTTCTTCAATAGCTTCCAAGTCATCTGACCTATTTACTCAGAATCACTTTGAAATCTTTCTATTAGGCTGTATAGATGAGGCACAGTCATTTGTTTTCCATTTCAAGTCCTTTTTCTTTTTTTAGGATTTTTTTTTGTGTCAAAATTGAGGGCCATTTACGCAGTTTGTGTAAATACTCTTCTTCTCGTTAGTCTTCGAGACGTACTTGCACGCTATCGCGCCCCCTGTGGTCACAGAAAATGATGGGTCAAAAAGTTTGGTGTAAGATCACAGTACAGAAGGAGATTAAGGGGAAAGAAGGATAAGGAAGAAGATTAATTATGCCTTTAATTGGTAAACATTTTTCGTTTTCTACTAGTTATAGAATGTTGTGGGTGGTAGTGATGGCAGTTACTTTAAAAAAGTAACCTTAATCAGATTACTGATTACTCCTTGAAAAGTAAATTAGTTACTTAACTGATTACTTGATTTGGAAAGTAACTAAGTTAAATTACAAGTTACTTTATTAGTTACTTTCAGTAGCTGCTGACAACAACCTTCTGTCACCTCAATATAAAAATTATATTGAGCTTTGCCAGTACTGACTTAATTGTAAGTTATTTTATAATAACTAACAATGTATCTCCACTTATAAGGTTGAACTGAAGGGGAGAGTGTTTGTTTAATGGATAGTCCAAAAAAAAGAAAAGACAAGAAAAAAGACTGTAGTGACTTTTGCGTGTTTTGCATGTGATGTCAGTAATTACACTGGTGGGTGGGGGAGCCCATCTAAAATGATTCTATCCAAGGCCCTGGCAAGAGTACCAGGTGGCCTGAACTCATCTTCCCATGAATTTTCTCCTTGTCCGTAGGCAGGATCATTTTCTTAATCAGAGAGGAAAATTGCATGTGAATGTCTTATAAATATATTTTAAAGGGGCGTCTCTGTGGATGAGTCTAGCGTTCCCTCTTGTGTGCTCAGTTCATGTTAACTGGAATGTAAAGGTGAATGTGGTTGGATTTATGATTATGCACAGTTTCAGACATCTGGGTTACTTTTTGCCTTCACATATTTGTAAACATACGGTCTTTGTACATAAGTACAAAGGAGATTTATCTGTTTCTACGTTTTTATGATCGAATTCCAATGCCACAGATGGCTTCTTACGTCATCTTGTGTTCGCCGGTGGTATTGTGTCTGTGGGAGGAGACTAAAACCTCCGTGTCGGATTCACTAAAAAACAATGTGTCATGGCATGGGTTAGGAGTTTCGACTCTTAGCTGGGTGCTGGTGTGGAGCAGACGCCGCTGGAGACCAACTGACGCCTCAAACCTACAAAGAGACACGAATAAAGCAGAAGACCAGAGCGCGACGGCCTGCAGCCGGAGGGGTGAGCTTCCAGCACACACGCGGCGTGGACAGCTTGTTTTTAAATGTAGCTGCCCTTTACTGTGAGCGTGTGCTGGGAAAACCCTTGAGGAAGCCACGCTTCATTAATCTTTTGTAAAGTGGAAGCATAGAGGACTTCTGCCAGGGTGGAACATGCTGCGTTCAGTACCACGGTGGTGTCAGGTTCCAACTGGTGGTTCTGAGCCAGCAATTTCAGTAACTTCATGATTACCCAGCAGCTCATTCTCTCCTTTAGTCCGTCCTAGCTGCAGAGTTCACAGTGAATTTGCAAATAGGAACACCTTAGATCAGAGGTTCCCAAACTGTGGGGCGCGCCCCCTAGGGGGGGCGCCGTGTCATTGCAGGGGGGGCGCGGGAAGCCGAATGGATGAAAAAAAAACAAAACAAAACATGAACACTGTATGCGCTGGGTTTTTACCTTAGAATGGCCAACTCTCTGTTATTCCTCTGTCAATTTGATACAGTAGAGGCTTCCACACTTCCCATATTTGTGTCCTCTGTCACTTTTATCAGCAGTAAAAACTGTTTAATCCGTTGTTAACATGTTGTAACCTGTTTTTCCGAGCCGCCTTTAAACGCAACATATGATTGTAAGAATGTTTGGGTTGTGTAGTTAAAGTTTGCTGTAGTAATTACTTCAAATGAATTTATTGCACTACAAGCCTGTTAAGGTGTCCATGCTTTATGTTAAATTATTACGCATGTGTATAGTAAACTTATTGTCAGTAAATCGGTTTTCATAGAGTTAAGAATAAATCACACTTTTATATAATTTGCTTGTATTGGTGGGGTTTGTAATCGAAAGAAAAAAACAGTGGCTAGTGAAATGCTTGAGTGCCCGGTTAAAAATTTTCACTCCTGGTTTTAGCCAAGGGTTATGACAGCGTAGAACAAGTTTTGGTTCACACTGTGGGAAACGGAAGGCGTGGTTGATCACTTTACTTTGAAAAATAAAACCTTCTTTAGAAATGTGGACTGTGGACTCTGATATTATCTTTGAGGATGTTTGTGCTGCTGCAACATGTTTAGCATTGAAGTACTATTTTAGACTTGAATAGCTTAACTGTGAGGCTAACTCCTTTTAGCACAACTTGATCACAAAAATAATCTTTTCCAGTGTCCCATCAGATCAATTTTTAAAGGAAAAACTAAACTCCAGTGGGTCAAGAGAAGCTGCCCGTAAGGACAGTTTCACTTGTGTGGTAGATTTATGGGCATACCAGAAACATGTGAACACAAAGGCTCCAGCTTGGGATTTTGCATTTAAGAAAAAAGAGGTTAAAATGAATCACAATTAGTGCTTTAAAGTTATGGCTCTAGACCAAATCAAAAATGAATCCAGTGTATATGTAGTTTAATGTTTTGTTTTCAATCTTTTTTTTTATCAGTTCAAGATGGATGAGAAACATAGTTGTGTGACGCTGTCAGTCCAGCCCTCTAGAGGACTTGTGGATGAGAAATTTGTTATACTGGTCCAGAACAGCTTCCCCAGTTCCCTGTTGACCATCTACGCACACCATCAGTGTGAAGACGGCAACAGTTGGCACGCATTCGCCCACTACACTTCTGATGCCACTGGTGCTGTGAACGGTGTGGCATCTTACTCCAGACGTCAGACACACAGTCATGTAACAAGAAATGCAGACAGTGTTTCACTTTTATTTATTTATTTATTTTGCCTTCCTCTTCACAGTTTCAGAAGATTGCAGTATAGGTGGGACTTATTCAGGTGTTGAAGCTATGGGTCTATTATGGAGCCTCCAGCCAGTTCCAGGCAGCAAACCAGGACTCAGGTTGCTTGATCATGCAATTGCTGCCTGTCTACATAGATATCACTACCAATATCTTAGCTGACTCTCCCCTTACCAACAGGATGAGGAAGAAGAATGTCCAGGCCCCCATGGTGGTCACCATATCTGTCTACAGCAGTCACCTGACAGAGGGCTTTGGGGATCAGGTCCCGCTGGCCGGTGTAGAAGTGGAGCGGTGGTACATGGCTCCTGGTGTCCAGAGGATCCCAGTTACAGAGGATGGACTCACTGCAACCCTCTTCCTGCCTTCAGGTAGGACTAGAACCAGTCTAGATGGACTAGAAGCAGGATAGTTGGTAACAAAAGTATTCACACCTCTTAAAATTTTTCCTCTTATTAATGCAGCCGCAAACCTTGAAGTATTGAAATTAAAGTAAAAATTGAAACTTAGCTCATAATGAGATGGTGGATGAAAAAGGAAAAATAGACTTTGAAATGTTTGTCTGTGCCCTGTTTATTTAATAATGCTAAATAAATTTCAGTGCTGTCAGGTGGCTGCAGAAGCCATTTAATCACTAAGCAGAGTTCACCTGTGTGTCATGTAACCAAGAGCCAAGAGCAGATGTTCCGTTAACAGAACGGAAATTTTTATATTTCAATGGAAATATGCAATTTCCGTTGAAATATAAAAATTCAACATTTCTGTCAACAAAGATTTGCGTCATAGCCTGTGACACCCCAGATAGCACACAGTGGTAAATCAACGTTGAATTATAGTCAGAATGGTTGATTTTTGGTTGAGGTCGACAACTAACAGTGGATCAACCATCAAACAATCATCCAATTCTAGCCAATTAACTAACGTTGAAAATGTGTCATTGAATCAATGTTAGCTGTTTTACTGCACACCTTCCCCTCCTCATCAGAGCTCTAGGTGAGAGCATTTTATCACTTTTTAAATTAAGCACTGTAGAGGATAATGGCCGGTGATTCCTTTCAGTACATTTTCTTAATTGTTCATAAAAATTCTTACTGACTGTTTGTACATATGGTGTTGACACAAAAACATCTACAACTTACTACAAGGAGTGGAGCGGTCCACCCCCACCGTTTATATGAGTGGGATGCTCCAACCACACAGCCACTTCGCTGTTGGCTTGTTTGCAAAATATGTTAATTCAATATTGAATTATGATCACAAAGGTTGAATTTATGGTTAAGGCTGATGACTGATGGTGGATAAACCTTCAAACAATCATCCAATTCTAGCCAATTAACTAATGTTGAAAATATGAAATTAAATCAATGTTGCTTTGTGGTTGAATTTTAATAGTTGAAACCCCAACGTCGAATCCAGTGTTTTTCAACACTGGTCCTCAGGGCACACTGCCTTGCAAGTTTTAGGCATTTCCATAATTAGGGACACATGATTTTAATTGACGGCTGATTAACAGGGTTTTGCTGAACTGAAAACATGCTGGTCAGTTTGACTTAAGAACCAGGGTTGGGAAAAACTGCTTATCAATTTTGAATCCAAGTATGTTGTTTGTTGCGCCCCTTCTCTCCTCCTCATCTCCAACTATTCCCCTCAAACTTCACCACACCCACCCACCAGCTCTTCCCAATCTTCCCCTGTTGCATGACCTGACTTAAGTTGCCTCATCATGTGCCCTGCTTCTGGGTTTGATATATGCCCTTAACCTGGCTTATCCAAAGCCTCTGGGCTTCACATTTGAAGTGTTTCAAAAAATCTTCATGCAACATGACCAACACAAGATGTCTCCCAAAGTTCAGAATTTGTTTGGAAGACTTCAGACCAGGCATATCAAACTCAGTTTGGCTCTGGGGCCGGATCCAGACTTTCTGTTCTCAGGTGGGCCGGATCAGTAAAAGAATGTCAACTCCAAATATTGAGCTTTGTTTTTCAGTACTATGCTTTATCATTCATTCTACATTTGTGGCCTACCCTACATATTATAATTATAGATGACAAGGGATCTTTTTTGAGCACAATACATTTATTCAACAAACAATGGAAAAAAATTATTTTCATGTTTGGGTATGAATGTGTTAACAACTGGTTTATTTTAACAGTTGATCGAATGCAGTTTTACACCTGAACCAACTCATCACATTAACAAACTCAAGTGGGAGCTATGAAAAAAATATTTCCGCCTTAATTGTCATACTGCTTTGAAATAAATAAAAAAAGTGCAGTGCATGGGCAATAAGATTAGACTACGTCAGATCAAACTACTAGGCTGGGCCTACTGAAGCTGAGAACATTCTGCACAATATCAATTCTCTTTAATATGAAACCAGATGAATCTCATTTTTAATTATCTGTATTCACAAGTGCAAACAAATTTCGTGTCATCCCACTTTTTTTCTCTTTCTCAATGCACTCCTGCAGTCTACTTGCTGCTGCTGGCTCCTGAAACTTGGCATCTTTTTTCCTTCACAAGTGTATCGATATTAGGTATCAAATCCTGAGTAGCAGCACATTTAACAATGTCATTCAAGTGTTTGTTAACCTTGAGCGCTGCTTTGTTTTATTATTATTCATTACCGAAAACACCTGTTCACAAAGATAAGTAGTCCCAAACATGGATAGAACCTTTGCAGCCATGGCTGTTAATTTGGGATAACCTGGCACGAGATATTGATAAAACGTATCCAATCCCACTGACCTAAATTTATCCTTCATAGCAGAATCGCACTGCAAGTCAATAAGCTCGAGTTGAATGTCAGCTGGCATATCAGAAGGCTTCGCTGTAAATGGCAAGCGAAAAAAGTCAAATTTGTTATGAAGTTCACCGAATACCTGAAACCTCTGCTCAAACTCTCGCAGCAAATCTGTTATGTTATCTTTATATTTATCCAAATCATTATCGGGACGGTCTGGTTCCTTCGGACGCACAGCTGTGAGACAAGAGAAATGCGCGGTGTCACCGTTGGATAGCTGCGTCTCCCATAGTGACAGTTTCATCTTGAACGCACTTATGCTGTCGTAATATTGAGTTACAACTCTGTTACGGCCCTGCAATTTAGTGTTAAGTGTATTCAAGTGTTGTGTAATATCAACCATGAACGCAAGATCCTGCACCCATTCCTTGCATGTAAGTTCTTTTACTGGGCATCCCTTCTTCTCCATGAACTGTCCAATTTCCCCACGTAGCTCAAAGAAGCGCTTAAGTACTGCACCTCTGCTTAACCACCGCACGTTAGTGTGGTATGGTAGGCCAACATGAATGTCATTATCACTGAGAAATGTGTCAAACTGACGGTGATTTAGCCCGCGCGCTCTGATGAAATTGACAGTTTTCACAACCACACTCGTAACATGGTCCATTTGCAGTGTTTTACAACATAACGCCTCCTGATGTAAAATACAATGAAATATCCAAAACTCTTGTCCTCCATTTGAAGTCTATACTTTGTCACGGAATTTTGTGGCAACGCCTGCCTTTCTCCCGACCATTGATGGCGCACCGTCGGTAGCCAGGCTCACGGCACGGGACCAGTCCGCTCCCACCTTGTCCAGCGCTCCAACGAGAGCGCTGAAAATGTCATCTGCTGTTGTGGTGTCATTCATGGGCACCAATTCAAGCAGCTCCTCGGTGATGGTCAGAGTTCCATCAACACCTCTAATGAATATGGCCAGCTGAGCAATATCTGTGACATCGGTACTTTTATCTATTGCAATTGAAAATGCAATAAATGACTTGATTTTCTCTTTCAGTTGGCTGCTCAAGTCACTTGAGAGTTCTGTCACCCGATCTGCGACAGTGTTCCTTGTTAGACTAATATTGGCAAAAGCAGGTCGCTTTTCAGGGCACACGACTTCTGCAGCCTTCAGCATACATGTTTTTACAAACTCCCCATCAGAAAATGGCTTAGATGCCTGCACCAGCTCGTTGGCAATAATGTAGCTGGCTCTTACAGCCTCATCAGAAATATCGCGGCTGCGTGTAAAAGTAGACTGCTGTTTCTTCAGACCAGCGACCAATTTGTTTATCTCGTCTTTCCTTATTTGTCCTTTCAAGTGGTCATACTTTTCTTTATGATCAGTCTCATAGTGGCGCCGAATATTAGTGGCCGTATGTTTGACATGCTTGGCTTAATGTCTGTATGATAAAAATACTGAATCGATAGATAAGAACAGTTTTTCCTCACCTGGCTGTCTCCTCCCGCTCCGTAGTTCTTCAGAGAAAGGCAGACGCAGAGGCTGGTCAGTGTCTGTTGTATCTCATTACCTCTCTGCTTAAACCGCTACTCCGTGCTGAAGCAGAAACGATACTTTAACCTTTTCCGTCATCTGACAAGTAGCAAGTCTACTCCACTTTATTCCCCAAAAACGTTTTTTTTTTAAATATATATAATTCACCAAAAACTGTTCTGTAATCTGGAACGTTATCTACGTTGAGCTCCAGTTAGCCGCCTTATCTCACTCTGCGAGAGGCAACTGTGTCATGCGTCACAGGCAAAAGGTCAAACGTAACAAGGTGACCAGAGGGCTTATTATGTTGTACAAAAAAATTGTCCTGCACAATGTGTGTATTATTCTGTAGGACTTATTAATAATTTC